TAGAAAATATGCTTGGAACAGATGGAAGACAAATATAATATGATAAGTATAGATAAATTTGACAAGCATTCTGAAAATATGATAGCGCTGTTCGTTTATATATTGAGCAAACTATTTGACATGAGTGCAGTTTTTATATCATAAAAGGATATTATATTTCCAACAACAACATGAAAAAAAGACTTTAAATTAAGAGTTGTAAGGAAAGTATACTAAACCTCAAATTCAAAGTGTCCAATCATAAAACTAAGTTTGTGCCACGTGAGCATGAAATTTATTATCGAATCGCGCGTAATATTACGTCATCGTATTTGGTATAACCGGGCGACTTGAATCATATCGCATGGTTGATCATGTTACCCGGGTGACATAATTCGAATAAACCACGCGCGACGATCACGCAAGCAAGATGGCCGACAAAATATACCAAGGAGTGATGAATTACAAAATTTTTAAACTTCAAAAACTTCTTTTTTTTTTGAAAATTTTGAATCAAATTTAATAAGCAAGTTATCATCAGTATTCCAAACGGTATGCGATTCGAAAAAAAAGCGACAATACTTATAGAATAAAATGAAATAATAAAACATCGTATCAACGAAAGTGTGTGCTCAACATGTAGGCTTTTAATCAGTGAATGTTTGGATGTGTTCCATATGTTACTGTGACAGTTAATTGAATGCTTAAATGCTTACTGCTTTCTCACTACGGACTGCATAGCTCTATACACCTGTTTTCAAAATTACGCGACCGTCTCGAAAATAATCATTGTTCAAATGTCAGTTTTATTTCACACGAAATGTTAAAAAGAACAAACGTAAACAAGAGTAATTTTTAATCGTATTTAAAATCTAAAGAACAATATTGAATCAAAATGAGCTAATTAAATATACAAACTAAAAGGAATAAAAAGCCATCAGCAACAGAAGTCTATGGCGTGAATGACTTTCAAAGCTTGAAAAAGAACAATTACCTCGAATTTAATATTGCCCTAGACTATCACACAAATGTTTTGAAAATCATTCTTAAATTTTTATATAAAGCATGCAAACATATACATCGATTATGAAACGCAAAACTCAAAATTGTGAACAGTTTGAATTTGTGACCGTATGAGTGTGACATAAAAATGACATGTTAACTCCAGCTATTTTCTGCCTGGGCGCGTAATTTTGAAAACGGGTGTAAATAAAATCACATGAAAAATATTAAATAGTATTTTAGCTGTTAACATATTCGAATATAAAACACATATAATGTTTTAAACACATATAAATATCCAGAAAGTTTCAAACAAATAAATGAATAAAGTTTGAATAACTTACCACGCAGTCAACCGCAATACTTTCGGAATATTGAAAATTACTATTATTCAGAGAGGTAATTTCTGAAAGAATTTCTTTTATTGAAATATAGAGAGACTTAAAGCGATAATTTGTCAATGTCACAGCCACCTATGGATCACATGATGGTAATACATTTCCGGTAATTAGGCTACATTTATTTTGCATCATTTTGACCAATTTATTGTCCAAATTATCCTTCTATGTCCAAGCGTATATAAAGACAACTAGATTGTTCTAAATCAATGTTAAAAGCAAAAAAAGTTCGTCAAGTGTCTTGAATTTCTAAATTAAACTTCTTTTATTTTCATCGTGACTGTTTTCATCGAGTAATGGTGACCTTTCCAGTGCGACCAATTTATACCATCAGCATAAGAGGTGTGAGTTCCACCGCAATGATACAAACCATTTAAATTGGATTCATGGCAGTTGTTGTACCACCATCCTCCTTTGTATAACTGAGCACAATTATTCTCGTGGAGGTCGTGATCGATGTCTTTGGTTGTGAACTGCATGCCATTATGAAAAGTCAAAGAATCACCGGCGTCTCCTGTGAGATTGACATATCACATTATCAGTTTAAAACGTTTTGCTACTTCACGTCAATGACGTATAAGATCAATCATGTTTTGCATTGCTACCCTGGTTTAAAGAACGTGTTAAGTGGGACAATTTTTTCCAGAACTCGCAACGTAAGTTCAGAGCCATATTATCCAAAAAGTAGTCACAGAAACATTGTGAGCATCGTCAGTATTCTACATTGCAGAATATTTTTTTCCGACATATTGTTAGGGGATGAAAAATGAAAATGCCATGAAAAGATTGGCAGAGTAGCGCCACGTTCACATTTTTTATGCAACTAGTTTTAAGACCCCTCTGACGTAGATAGGATTTCTATTTTAACTGGGCCCGAAAAAAATATGCCAAGAGTCAGAGTTGCAAAACCTGTTCAAATTTCCTCCGGGTAAAATTTTAAAGTTTTCGATCAAACTTCCACAAAATTAATTGAATAAATACTAAAATATGGCTTCATCAAATAGCAATATACTATATAGAGTATAATATAAACTTAACTGATTCTGAAAGCATATAGTTCGAAAGAGACGTAAATGCAGTACTAAAGGAATACCAAATGGTTTTCTGTGCAGGATTGCGTGATCCATGCACCAGGATGTCGCGAGACTTTCGGAAAGCGTGAAAATACTCGAGGCGCATGCGAGTGTATTTTACGCTTTCCGAAAGTCGAGCAACATCCCAAGTGCGTGGATCACGCTATCATGCTTGGAAAACCATTTGGTAATTGTTTTATATAATAACTACAATGAAACAATGACATTTTGAGAATCCCGCAAAAATCCCGCCAAGGCATTTTAATTCGTCGTGCAGGATAACCTGATCCTGCACGCCCATTGACCAATCAAATTGCGTGTTTCACTGTAGTTATTATATAAAATAATCCTAATGTATAATTTGCCATAATAGATTTATACTTGGAAAAATTGAACAGTCTTTATAACTGCTACGTCTACATCCTGTGTGATATATTGAATATAAAAGAATATAAAAAAATAAAGTCATGGACTCAAAAGTCCAGATAATCTTTCAAATGTGATGGTTTCTGAATCTGTAATAAAAAGCACAGCGGTGCACGCGTAAAAATTGAGAAAACCAACATTCCAACAAACTTCCCGGTTGATATTGACAGGCGTGAACAAGGTTGTGCTTCCCACTATGAACAAGTTGTCGACAAACTTGCAACAACGTTGTAGACAACTTGTTCATAGTGGGCAACACAACCTCCCTGTCGATATCAACTGAAGTTGTAGATTATATGCCTGTACACATATTATATAGAGGTCAGCAGTAAAACCATGGCAACACAGATGCAACAACATTCCAGATCTGAGGTGGTATTTGATGTTTCTGCATGCATGTGAGTAGTAATATAGGTACCGATCGATCCGAATTTTTCAGGGGGAGGAGTGAGAATGAGGAGTGAGGTGGTGGATGAGGTGGTGGAGTGAGAGATGAAGGAGTTTGAAGTGGTGGATGTCCACCACCTCATTTATAATTATTATTCATACGTACAAATAAGCGTGCGTAGTGACGTCACTCATTAGTACAAAATACGTCATAATTATATGCAATGACGTCAAGCGGGCAAGCTCAGGCAAGTAATAACGTCACGCGGGCATGTTCGGACAAAACTTGCTGAGTAGGCATTTCTTAGCGTCCCTCCACGTGTGTGATACAATAGAGGGATTAAGATTGGCTTACTATGAATAGTTCGAGACTCTCACATGGCAAAATTGTTATCGATGTTAATATATAGCAGAGTTATAGCCGTATCTTTACTTGGAAGAGATAAATTTCCACAGTTATATAGAAGAATTTTTCGTATGTTTACAAAATTATAGCGAGGAACTATTCGTCACAAAAATCTAGACATATTTCAAACAGAACTGAACAGTTGCTAATCCCAGGTTAACATGGTTGTCAACGTCGTTGTTATGGTCAATATTTGCATGTTGTTCAACACTATTTAGCAGATCATAAGAAAGCTTATCAAGAATACTTTAATTGAAGGAAAAACCTTTTAGAACAGTTGTGATACATTTTGTCATAAAAAAATAAATATGTTTTTTGTCAAATATGCGGTCGTTATATACGTTGATATGTGTTGCCAGTCATTAGCGACGCTTGGGTGCATGCATATATTAACGTACAAAATATTTGTACACTAATCAGGCGGGCGGGTCGCGCGGGCGGAAAGAGCGGGCTTTACAGGCAAAAGCTTACACAAGATTTCAGTTTTAAAATACATTTATTTCTTTAAAACGTTTTACAAAATTTAGTACGGTTTACTTCTAAGAGCGTAACGTCTAGGTGTTTTTGTTATTTTTAATAGTTCTCATATTCTTGTCTATCTTCCGGGGATAACTTTGCTACTCATAATCCTCTCTCGCTTCCGGAGTCATTCGTGCTAGGTCACGTTCGGTCCAATCTGCTGGATCAACCCAATTGTGGAAAAAGTTGCGCTTGAGTTTCGGTCGTTCCTCTTCTGTTGGGGGTGGCGTAAGGTGGTCTCAACAGATTCATTGGGTTGTGAAATTTCTGCAGGCGATTGTGGGATACTTTGAGCACAGGTTTCAGGAATTCCAGGAGAGGAATAAACCATCTTATTTTTGAATGTCAAAAACCGGCTTAGCTGCTCAGAATATAATTCGCTTCTGGTACTATAGTCTTAATTGTCATGACTATAGTCTCCATATAGTCATGACTATAGTCTTAATCTATAGTCTGCATAGTCATGAATATAGTCTTCATAGTCTTTACTATAGTCTTAATATTCATGACTATAGTCTTAATAGTCATGACTATAGTCTTAATAATATCATAGTTGCCTCGAAATCCTTTGTCTCCCGAGGTACGATTACCAACTAATTTACCTCATTACCCATGTATACGCTTTGTCTTCTAAATTTACCCGGTAAATTTAGTTTAAAACAAAGGATTTCTTTGTCTTCTAATCTTCCCCTGCATGCTTGATGAGGGAAATTTAGAAGACAAAAGCGTACCTCATTACCTCTGATTGGAGAGCTGTACCTCATCGAAAATCATCGGCACAACTATGGACAGTATCTGACGGCACCGTCCCGTACACATTCGAACAATCACTTTGCCAGCTTTTATTCCCTAATCTTGAACACTACAATTGTGGGAGAAAATTCCGTTTATGCGCATGCCTAAAACGAATGAACACGGAGATGTGTTTCTGCGCGTGCGTTTATATGAAAAGTGTTCGTACCACAATCATAAGACAATCAAACAGCATTCAAAACAGGCAACACACCACGCGCGATTCCCTGGGCAACTATGATATTACAAAGTAATAGCATGGCATTACGGTCGATTAGTGATAAAATGTCCCTCAAGCCTCGAGAGGTTTAGTAAAAGTCCCTCGGCGCTACGCGCCTCGGGACTTTTACTAAACCTCTCTCGGCTTTCGGGTACATTTAATCACTAATCGACCTGAATGCCATGCTATTACTTATAATAATCATGACTATAGTCTTCATAGTCATGATATAGTCTTCATAGTCTTTACTATAGTGTTAATATAGTCATGACTATAGTCTTAATAGTCATGACTAGATTCTTAATAGTCTTCATCATAGTCCTAATAGTCATGACTCTAGTCTTCATAGTCATGCCTGTAGTCTTACTAGTCATGCTTATAGTCTTTATAGTCATGACAATAGTCTTCATAGTCGTGACAAGAAAACAAACAGGATAAATATACCTCTTCACTCTTGCTTCAAATCATTTTACACTGACTCTTGAGAAGTAAACATGTCTTGTGAATGGGACATCTGCCATAAAACGGTTGCAAATGCGAGTTATCTCCTTCGCCACAAGAAGGTTGTCCATGCATATGGAACTCGTAGTCTTGGACACCAAACTCTTACGGTGAACGGAGTTACAGTCGTGCAGCCTCCTTTTACGTGCATCGTTACGGGATGTACATAAAGCGGCAAAACCGTATGGGTGAAGTCTCTCTTGGAGAATGCTCAAACGACTATAAGTCCTGCTCCCCAACGTATTATTTGGTCTTATGGTCAATGGCAACCGTCCTATTTTGATATGATGAGGGTGATGCCTGGAATCGAGATTAATCAAGGCATTCCCAACGATATCGACAACGCAGATTACTTGAACGTATCTTTGCGGAATTTGATTGTATTGGACGATCTCATGGCACAATCTAGCAAGGATAAACAAAAGGATGTCATCATCGAAATTTGTCTATCATCTATATTGTCCAAAATATATTTCATCAGGGCAAAGAAATGAGAAATATCAGCCTTGATGCCCACTATATCGTGTTGTTCAAGTCACCAAGAGATAAACAACAAATTTCTATGCTTGCCATACAAGTAAATCCCAGGAAAGTACAGAAATTAATGAGGAGTTATGAAGATGCTACGAGCCGACTTCATGGGTATTTGATGTTGGATTTAAGGCCAACGACAAGTGACCAAGATCGACTTAAGACGAATATACTTCCCGGCGCGATTCCAAAGTTTATACAAAAACAGTCGTATCGAGTACAACCACCGCTTGTAAATGCCATGTATGATACCGAGCAGCGAATGAAAAAAATCATGGAAGCGCCAAAGCTTAGCGCCGTGGAATAAAGCAAATTATATTCTGACTAGCTAAGCCGGTTTTTGACATTCAAAAATAAGATGGCTCATTCTTGTCCTGGAATTCCTGAAACCTCTGCTTTTGGTATCCCACAAGCGCCTGCAGAGATGTCACAACCCAATGAATCTGTTGGGATAGCACCACCAGTGCCTGCTACTCCTAAACCTAATTTCCTTACGCCACCACCAACAGAAGAGGAACGATTAAAACTCAAGCGCAACTTTTTCCACAATTGGGTCGATCCAGCAAGTTGAACCGAACGTGACCTAGCACGAATGACTCCGGAAGCGATAGAGGATTACGAACGTTTTTTTATTGAGCGACAGACCAAAATATATTCCAATGAAACCCGAGCAAGTAGTAAAGTTATCCCCAGAAGATAGAAAAGAATATGAAATAAATGTATTCTAAAATTGAAATCTTGTGTAAACTTTTTCCTGCAAAGCCCGCTCTTTCCGGCCACGCGACCCGCCAGCCTGATTAGTGTACAAATATGTTGTTCGTTAATATATGCATGCACCCAAGCATCGCTAATGACTGGCAACACAAAGCAACGCATATAACGACCGCATATTTGATAAAAAATATTTATTTTTATAGCAAAATGTATCACAACTGTTCTAAAAGTTTTTTCCTTCAAGTATTCTTGATAAGCTTTCTTATGATCTGCTAAATAATGTTGAACAACATGCAAATATTGACCATAACAACGACGTTGACAACCATGTTAACCTGGGATTAGCAACTGTTTAGTTCATTTTAAAATATGTTTCGATATTTGTGACGAATAGATTCCTCGCTATAATTTTGTAAATATACGAATAATCCTTCTGGAAATTTTTTTCTTCCGAGTAAAGATACCGCTATAACTCTGCTATGTATTAATTTCGATAACAATTTTGCCATGTGAGGGACTCGAACTATTCATAGTAAGCCAATCTTAATCCCTCTATTGTATCACACACGTGGAGGGACGCTAAAAAGTGCCTACTTATCAAGTTTTGTCCGATCATGGCCGTGTGACGTCATTACTTGCATAAGCTTGCCCGCGTGACGTCATTGCATAAAATTATGACGTATTGTATACTAATGAAGACGTCACTACGCACGCTCATTTGTATGAATATTAATTATAAATGAGGTGGTGGGCATCCACCACCTCAAACTCCTCCACCTCACACTCCACCACCCCACACTCCACCACTCCACACTCCACCACCTCACACCACCACCTCACTCCTCCTCCTCACTCCTCCTCCTCACTCCTCCTTCTCACTCCTCCTCCTCAAAAATCCGGATCAATCGGTACCTATATTACTACTTACTTGTGGTTTTGAAAGGAATTTGAGTGTTTAGGTCTTTTGAAGTGTGACCCAATCGCCCAATTTCACAATCAGCGAGGCAGCGAATGCTCTCATTTGTTTCCAAAGCAAAATGCTAAATTTAAACCAAGCAGTATAGTGCCCTGCATGGCGATTTATAATCAATGGCAATGTTTGGAATGGTTGAAAATCAATGGCAATGGCAATATGATCTCAATAACAGATGCTGCCACTCCTGCCATATACTTATGGTTATCTTATAGTTTGTGGGAATTGACAGTGTCGGGATCATATATAATAATAATAATAATAATAATTACAATTTATATAGCGCAAATTAGCATTTGTATATGATCAAATGCGCTGTACAATAAAGTATTAAAATAGTTAAAATTGAAGTATACCTATCTATGTATTTATATCAAAAGCTAACCTAAATAAATGTGTCTTTAAACTCTTTTTAAAACTGTTAAAACTGTCCGTATTTCTAATGTGACATGGTAACATGTTCCACAGTTTTGGGGCAGCAGATGTAAATGATCTGTCTCCCAATGTTTTCTTGAATCTAGCCCTTGGCTGTGCAAGCAGTAAACCTGTATTATTTGATCTAAGACTATAAGATGACTTGTCTCTGATACATATCAGATCACTTATATAAACAGGAGCAAGTCCGTGAATTGCCTTAAAGGCGAGAATAAGAACTTTAAAATTGACTCGATACTGAACAGGTAACCAATGTAAAGTATACAGTACAGGTGTTATATGTTCGTATCTGGAAATATTGCAAATTAGTCTGGCAGCAGAGTTCTGTACACGCTGTAGTTTGTTTAGATGGACGGATGGTAAACCATACAAGAGGTTGTTGCAATAGTCTATGCGCCCAATGATAAACGCGTGAACTAAGGTTTTTGTTGCTGCGTCAGATAGATACTTTCGAATATGTCTGATGTTATGAAGTTGAAAATGTGCAGCCCTACAAGTTTTATTGATATGTTCTCTCAAATTTAAGTTCGAGTCGAACCACGTCCCAAGATTTTTTACGATAGGCACAGGAGACACCCTTGAAGAACCAACCATCAGATGATCGATGTTGACTTTCTCTAATTGTGGTTTAGTTCCGATTATCATAAACTCCGTTTTTTCGTCATTCATCTTCAGTTTGTCAGCAATCATCCACGTTCTGATATCCTTTACACAAAGTTCCATTGATTCTACTGCCGCATCCTGATTCAATTCGCTGTCTGGCTTAAATGCAAGGTATAGCTGTGAGTCGTCTGCGTACGCGTGAACATCCGGAAGATGAGTTTTTATGATCTGAAACAACTTACTAGCGTATATTGTAAATAGCAACGGTCCTAAGCAAGAACCTTGTGGAATACCTTGTTCCAGGGAGAAACTGTCCGAAACACAACCGCTAAGAGTCACGCGTTGTGTTCTGTTTGATAGGTATGATGAAAACCAGTTCAAGACATTTCCTTTAATCCCAAAACTAGACTGCAAGCGTGAAATAAGGATGTCATGGTCCACAGTGTCAAACGCGGCGCTCAAATCCAGGAACACCAACAAGGTTACGTTCTGTTTATCCATATTGAGAAGAATATCATTCTGTATCTTGAGGAGAATGGTCTCCGTGCTGTGTCCCTTGCGATATGCTGATTGTAAAACAGGATAAAGTCCAAACTGCATCATGTGGTTATTCATCTGCTCGAAAACAGCTCGTTCTATCAACTTCGATACATACTGAAGGTTACTAATTGGGCGAAGATTGCAGAATTCCAGATTCAACCCCTGGTGTTTTAACAATGGAACCACAAGTGCTTCCTTCCACTCTTCAGAAAATTTCCCAGATGCAAGGGATAAATTAATTATGCGAGTTAATACAGGTAGAAGTGTTCCAAGGCACTTGACTACTAATCCGGTAGGCATGGGATCAAGTGCACATGACTTTTTCCCTGACTTTTGTACTAGCGCTGTTACATCCTCCTCAGTGAGTTGCTGAAAATCACCGAATGTCTGAGTTTCGTTTAGCACCAGATCCTTGGGTACTACATCAAGATCGAATTGGACCGCGTTAATGTCTGAGCGTATATTCTCAATTTTCCTTACAAAAAATCTGCCGATGTCATTGGCCAAGGACACTTTATCAAAATGATCTGGAAAAGATAGTTCCTCTTTTTTTCCCAGAAGTTTTTTGGCGGCCTTAAATAATTGTCCCTGATCTGCCTTATTCTCTTCAATAAAATCGGCGTAGAATTTCCGTCTGGCCTGATTCATGATGTACGTCACCTGGTTTCTCTTCTGTTTAAAGTGAGTAAAGTCAACGACCGATTTGGTTCTCCTCCACTTCCTTTCGGCTTTTCGTCGTAACCGTTTAGCAATATCAATCTCCTCATTGTACCAGGGAACAGCAGGTCTCGCCACCATTCTCTTGGTCTTCAAAGGAGCGTGACGTTCTGTAACATCAGAAAGTACGTTATCGTATTTCCGAACAAGTTCATCAAGATCATATTCTTCGAGTGAATCCCTACATAATCCAGACATAGCTAAATCTGCCTCGAGTGATGCCAGATTCACAGATTTAATCTTCCTGTAGGTTCTCGACACTATAGTTAGAGCTGGTTTTGCTTGCTGCAGATTGCACAGAATTGAAGCATGGTCTGATATAAAGCGATCAACAACAGGAGGGTCCTTTATAATATCTTCTGATATTCGAGTAATAAGTAGGTCCAAGGTGTGTCCGCTGATATGAGTAGGTTGCATAACATTCTGTTTAAGACCGAAAGAATCTAAGAGGTCGAGGAACGTCCGTGCATCCGGTTGTTCAGGGGAATCGATATGTATGTTAAAATCCCCCGTAATTATCAACTGCTCTTTGCATAACAGGAAGGCTTCAATATAGTTCGCAAACTCCGTAAAAAATACTGAGGTGGTAACTTTGTGCTCACCAGAATATGGGGGGCGGTAAATATTGACAACTCGTAGATCGCGAGAGGATGATGATGTCACAATGCACTCATATGTAAACAATGATTTCAATTATAGGACCTCGATACATTTTGTCAATCTGTAGTAAATATGTCTGATAGCTACACACCTCATTAATCACGCTGTATTATTTTCGTCAGACTCAGATCAAACATGCTAAGATTTCTTCCTCAACTTTATTTATAATTTTTGTGGCAGTTTACGACATTTCACCTTGGCCATATTCATATAATTATTACAATGGTTCATTTCATTTATAACTATGAATTATTTTCTAGAGATATTGGAATCATATAACTAAATAATCTCTGAACAATATAATAATGTTCAATGTGAGTTTCTTGTTGTAACCATGATGAAAAGCTGTCAGTAATAGCTTACTGTTACTTGCGATGCAATGGTTTATGGCGCCTCTGATGCTTGACACTTATGCATTTTAATTTACAGAATATTTTCGGTTATTGTCTTCTCAGTATTCTCCAATGTCGTAGTCATATTTTATAGGTTCTATATCACAATAGTAGCAACACAACTTGTCAGGTTCAACTGCCTATTCAACTATGATTTATTTGTTTTACTTTTTTGGTGTTAGCGCAGCGACTGTTGACCACTAAAACGTCCTGACTGACCTCGCCTATTCTAAACACTCCTCGCAGGTAATGCATGCCCGCGTATGCCTGCAGCTTCTTGGCAACTCTGTCAAGGGTGTGTTGAAGAACATTTGCATTGCGATAGTTCGAATGTAGTTCAACTCCAATGCTAGCCATGCATAATATAGTACAGTGAACTTGTATAGCGATACAGGGCCAGGGATATGGTCCCAGGAAAAGTTTTTTAGATGTAGAGTCAGTAGAGTGCCATTTGAGTTATTTTAAACGTTTTTGCGATTTTAAATCATCATTTAACACAACAACTCTTTTTAATCACAAACTAATCCAAGACGTCTAATACATAGCCAGATATTAACTTACATTAAACCAAATGACAATATAATACACATGTTTTGTACTGATCTAAACTTTCCCAAATGGGCCAGACTATTCCGCCAGGGGGAGTCATCCACCCCCCCCCCCTCTAGTTTGTCAATGCAACATCCTTATCTGAAATAGGGTTGCAAGCTGCAGCAAAAATTGCTTCTTGTAACATAAACTTAAGTAGTCTATTGACGATCCAACATTTCGACACGCCAGTCAGGGATAACGGGACAGCGTGGTTCCTTATATACACTAAGTGATTTATAATAAACGCCTGGGTCGTCTTTTAAACTCTCGTACTTGAACGAAGGAATCGTTTACAAGACAAGAGGCGCCATTAGAGGTAAGAGGGACATCAGCAACGCAGCTTTACATTTCATAAACAACAATTCCAGCTGTTTGAACTATAGCACCATCATCCATGTTCCACAATAAGTGTTTAATTAAAATAAACATACGTGTAGAATTGGTTATGGGGCACTTATTAAAGACTATAGACAATTACGAGACCACTTGTAGCAATCAAGGAATGATTACCAGCTCCTATTTCTTATAGACCAAAGTACAACCTGGTTCCCAGGTTTTCCCTATTACGGAGGAAATCTCTGGTTGGAGCTGGTCACGTGAGCTTTAAAAAAATGATTTCACGCCTATCGGGGAAGGAAAAAATCTCAATTCTGCACGTTACACTTCGATTGCGAAGGAGTGAAGTGCTCTGTCTCACTGTCTATTTTGTACAATCAACATTGAGAATTATATATACTTCAAACCGCTTGCTAAATTTGGTTTCTGTTTGCTTTTAAGGCATGATAACACGCTAAACAGAATTATATAGCAACAGACAAGTAAGGAAATCAAGCAATAAAATCGTTTGATCGCATGTTTGAAATAGTAATTAATTATTATGTTCACTTGGGGTTTGGTCGTGGTTTCATTTCAGGTGTTTCTATTCGACTGTCCAGGTCGTAGCGCCTTGCAGGTCGTTTGGCACGCGTTACATACTTGAACAATGGCCAAATAGACAATGAATATAAAACAGTTTATAGTCATTACACTGAACGTAAAACTGTCTATCGGCTTTTAAAAAAAATAGATTATCATCATTTTTATTAAACACCAGGCATGTAAGAGGCATGCAGGAAAACCTATAAACAATGTCAGAGATTTTACATCACAGAATTATAAGACGGTTGCTTTTCCTATTTTTTCAGCACGGATACCTTCATGTTGAAGCAAAAAATTTCTATAGCCATTTACCTAATATTTCATGCAGCCTTTCAAACCTTGTCCATTGAAAAACATTTTGCCAACTATTTCTACAAATTCCCTACATTTTGTGAGGGATATATACCCAATTCATGAACGGTGTATACTTTGCACACGCGAAGTATCGCACAGACATAAAAGCATTACTTGATGAGCTTTGAAGTATTCAACTTGTACCGCACACATAAAATGCACGGAGGAGTCTTGCTGTACTTTGATATGATCATTCTTGATCTTTAATTAAAGGGAAATGGCAATATATTTTTTTATTTTCTCGTTTGAAAGAACATTTAAAACCATATATACAACTCTTTTACCGTTTTTTCATATCTTGCTTACTTCTGCAAATATTTTAATCGAAAGAAATAAAATGTCCGCCATCTTGGATTTTTGTAGATATGCATGTTACGTCACAACAGGGGTCACGCAATATTTTATCTAGACAACTACTAATCATTTTGCACTCAAAATTATATTCTGTATGCCCTTCCAAATACCAAGATCTCTTGAAAACTTGAAAACATCTACCAATCAATATTTGGTCAGCAACGAATGCTTTTATATGGTTAATTCCTGGTGTGACGTCACCAAAACTACCGTTAATGAATCAAAAATGTATCCAAGATGGCTGACATCTCATTATTTCAAGTGAAAATATTTCAAGAACCAAGCAAGATGTGCAGAATAGGTAAAAAAAGTAATTAAATAGTTTCAAAAGTTCTCTCAAATGAGAAAGTAAAAAAATAAATTGCCATTTCCCTTTAAAGGGAAATGGCAAAATATTTTTTTTATTTCTTTATTTGAAAGAACTTTTGAAACTATTTAATAACTTCTTTTACTGATTCTTCATATCTTGCTTAGTTCGTGAAATATTTTCATTTGAAGTAATGAGATGTCAGTCGTCTTGGATAAATTTTTTATCTCATTAACGGTAGTTTTGGTGACGTCACAACAGGTATTAACCATATTAACGTATTCGTTTCCGACCAAATATTGATTGGTAGATGTTTTAAAGGTTTCTAGTGATCTTGATATCTCCAAAGGCATACAGAGTATAATTTTGGGTTCAAAATTATTAGTGGTTGTCTAGATAAAAATATTGACCCCTGTTGTGACGTTATATGCATATCTACAAAATCCAAGATGGCGGAAATTTCATTTCTATCGAGTAAAATATTTGTAGAAGGAAGCAAGATATAAAAAAACGGTGAAAGAGTTTTATAAATGGTTTTAAATGTTCTTTCAAACAAGGAAATAAAAAATATATTGCTATTTCCCTTTAAGTTTCAGCAATGCCAACGCCTAGGTAACTTTAAAGTCACCTCAGTGACCTAACAGGTTTTGAACCTGCCATTCCTGCGCTTTCGCATACGTAGTATACAGTTGGTGATGTTTCTAAAATCAAAGGATCTCGTTATCAAATACATAATTTGTTTTTAATATCGGACAATTCAATTAACAATCATATCGATCGGTCTGTGTTCAAGATACGCGTGTTTCTACTGCGAAGCGTGTTCGACCTCGCAAGCCAGGCTCTTTAAAAACCGTTCAACCTTGCAAGCAGTAGCGCGATCTCCAGCTTCTCGCTTAAAATGTAAAACAACACTTATATTATTGATGACATGCTTTAGACTGTTCCTTTCACGATTTCTTGTCGCAAGTTAAATTTGTGGCAAACACGTACAGTAAGTTGCAATTTTCCAGACTCCCTTTCGTATAAGGCATAAGCACGTGAACTGCGGGGGCACGTCACCAAAAAGTACATAATATTACTGAATATTTTTATGTATGCTTACTAGAATCTACATATAATCGATCTATAAGACAAGGCCTCTTTATTATATGCACTTGTATCCAATTCTGGATTTATTGCAGGCTTTCCTTGGTAGGGATGCAACTACCTGGAAAATAAAAGGAGAATGTTGACATTTTGAGCAAAGGCCCTTCGTCTGGTGTAACTTGGATTGTAACTCCAGACCACAGAATAGGAAGTTATACCAGAAGCGTAACTCGAGCAAATATTTGTCCGCATTTTTACAAGCGATTCGTCATCAATCACGCCATCTTGGCTAGTACAACCGGCACTTTGTACCTACCAAATCCTGATAAAAACTTCCGGCTGTACTAGCCAGGATGGCGTGGCCTGACGTGAGCGAGTTAAAATTTTAATTGAACGAAGAGAGCAAAGTTGCGGTGTTTCAGTGTATGTTTTTCCCCACCCCAAACATTTGCACAATGTCACAATACACGGTTTAGGTATAAGAGCTATATCCAAATCATACCAGGAGAGAACCGGCTTTTTTGCTGAAACATACTTTTTCCATGTCATGTTAAAAAATACAAAAGCATTCTAATCTGTAAATTATATTAAGCTGGATCTATCTCAGAGGTTGATGTAGGGGTTGATATCGGAAGCTGAGCTAGCTCTGACAGGACAATCTCTTGCTGGCCTCTGGGAGCCAGGTGCGTTGTGGCAACGGTAGTCTCCCTTCCATCCGGGTAGCGTATATAAGCATATTAACGATTCGCTTGAAGTAGCTCTACCTCATCGACAAGAGGATCTGTCTTGCTGGCACGGACGTGACGCTTGAGGAAAACGGTGCCAGGTGTGGCTAGCCAAGTGGGTATGGAAGAGCCTGTAGATGATCTTCTTGGAAAACCGAAGAATCGTTCGTGCGGCGTCTCATTAGTTGCTGTGCATAGGAGGGCACGAATAGAATGCAAGACATCCGGGAGAACGACTTGCCAGTGCTTTGTTGGCAGATTCTTGGATCTCAATGACTTAATGGTTGCTTGCCATACCACACCATTGTACTTCTCAACTTGACCGTTAGTTAGTCGTTCGGCTGGTGGCAATTCCTTTCTCTGCGAGAAAAGCTCGTAACTCGTGACTCATAAAGGCAGCACCACGGTCGGAGTGGACGTACGCTGGCATTCCGAAGAGGGAAAAAAGAGTAACTAGGCATATGATAACTGTCGTTGTGGAAACATCGGGACATGGGAAAACAAATGGGAACCTAGAGTATTCATCAATGACATTCAGAAAGTACTTGTTCTCGTTAATGGTGGGTAGTGGACCTTTGAAATCTATGTTGATTCTTTCAAATGGTCGAGTGGCTTTGATGAGAGGGACTTTTTGAGGCTGGTGGAACTGTGGTTTACATTCACAACATACACGACAGCTGCTTGTGACTTTCTTGATTTCATCCAAAGAATAAGGCAGGTTCTTGGTTCGCACAAAATGGTAAAGCCGGGTTACCCCTGGATGACAAAGTGACTCATGAAGCTTGTGGAGAGAATCTTGTGTAGTGGTGGCGCATGTGGCTCTGGAAAGGGTGCCAGGTGGAATGTTGTCCTTTCCAGGTCGGTAGATAATGTCGAAGCTGTAACAAGAGAGCTCGAATCCCTATCGCATGATCTTATCATTTTTTATCTTTTTTATCGCATGATTTTTTATCGCATGATCTTATCATTTTTTATCGCATGATCTTATCATTTTTGGTCAAACATGTACGACACGGATTTCTGATCTGTTACAAGGGTAAAATGCCTACAGAGTAAAGTCAGTAACAATTCTAATAGTGTTCGTGATTATCAATGTGAGAATTCTAAATCAAACTGCAATACCGTAGAAGGTCAAGGTCAACCATTTAGTCGGTGTAAAACCAAAACGACGCTACCTAAGTGTTTGGGAAATTTGCCACTAATTGAGTTACCGTCATCAAAAATGCAGAAAAATAAACAAAGTAAGCTTCCCAATAAGAAAAAGGTTTACTCGAAGGGATACAGGCATGGCTATTATGCAAAACGACAAATTAATACTCAATCCCAACGTGGCATAACTAAAACCACTGATCGGATTCCACTCGATGCTGTGAGTGAAATTCCCAAGCATCAAGGGAACCATCAGACATCACTCCATTCCGCTCACCTGACAAATTTTCGACGGCGCCGTTTAAATCATCGGCCTCACCCAAATCACCCCCCTTACCCAAACTTTCGATACGATCAAAATTACCGGTCCCATCAGAATCATCGACCTCGTCAGAATTTCCAGTCCTATCAAAATTTCCAGCCAAACCGTCAACCACAACAAAATCAGAAAGATTGGTTGAATTACCTAGAATTTGTTCATGGGATGATAAGAAAAGGAACTTAGCTATTTCTGTTAGAATTATACAGAGACAAAATTACCACCACTGTTATTCTAATAATACTTTAAATATTAACTCAAAGAGACGAAGTAACTTGGTACCTATTAATTTAACATCCACAAGAAAAGTTCCTTCGAGAGAAAAAGAAAAAAGTTCCTTACCCTCCTTGTTCCTTTCTAATACAAGATCACTCGTTAATAAAATTGAGGATCTGGAAGTTGTCATTAACCAAAACGACGTGGATATAGTTTGTATTACAGAAACTTGGCTGACCAATAATATTTCCAACTCAGTAGTCGACATTAGTGATTACACGCTAGTACGGAAAGATCGAAGCGCTGATAAACGTGGTGGTGGTGTTTGTACGTACATCAAATCATCAATTGATTTCAGAACAATTGACGAACTTAATGATTCCCCATTTGAATCTCTTTGGGTATACCTCCGTCCGAACCGACTCCCACGAGGCTTTTCTTGCCTAATTATCGGTATTATATACCACCCACCACAAGACGATGATGCTACTTTTACGGATCACCTAATTTCATCTTTGGATGCCGCTTTGAACAAATATCCTAATGCTGGAATTATGTTGGTTGGCGATTTTAATCGTTTAAATTACCGATATATTAGTAACCATTTTAACCTGCGACAAACCGTTAAAAATCCAACACGCGGTGCTGCAATCCTCGACCTAATTTTCACCAACCTGTTTCACCATTATAGCACTCCTCAAATTCAACCCGGAATCGGCTTAAGTGACCATAACTCCCTACTTATTGGTCCTTTAAGGAGAACTCACAAAACGAAAGTAGAATCAATTTTTAGAAGGAATGTAAAGCCAAGCATGAAGTCCTGTTTTGGAAGATGGTTAGCATCTACTGATTGGTCATTCCTTGAAACACTATCAAACTGTACGGAAAAACTCGCTGCTTTCCAATCTTTGCTAAATTTTGCTATCGAAATTTTCTTCCCACTCCGAAAAATCAAACAACACCCAACAGACAGGCCTTGGATTACTCCTGAACTGAAGAGTCTAATCCAGCAACGACAACAAGCAATGTCCAAAGACCCTCCTGTTTACAAAAAATTGAGAAATAAAGTTAACAGGCTAAATAACAGTCTTAGGAGTTCCTTTTTTGCAAATAAGGTAAAAAAACTGTGACAATGTAGCTTCCTGGTGGAAATCCATCAAACAACTTGGAGGACTTCCTAAGAAATTACCAGTATCCAGTGTTTTTGTATCGGGCAAAGAATTCCATTCAACCGAATTAGCAACAAAAATTAATGAAAGCTTCCTGTGTATCACTAACTCTCTCCCACCTCTAAACAGCCAATTGGAAAACGTTGAAACTGATCCTGCAGTAGTTAACGAAATTATTTCAAAATACCACATCTCTCCTGAAGATGTTTTTACGAAGCTCTCCAACCTCAAACGCACTAAAGCCTCTGGTCCTGACAACTTACCAAGTTGGGTCTTAAACGAGTTTGCCATGGAACTCTCATCACCTGTTGCTGAAATTTTTAACGCGTCAATCCAAGAGAGAGTCGTACCCGTTTCATGGAAAGTAGCAGATGTAATACCTATTCGTAAAACA